CCTGCTGAAGATGAAGGTCCTGCTCTGAGGGTCTTTCCCTCCTCCCCCTACCCTGTGCTCAGAGAGATGGTCTTTAACAGCAGTGAAACAAGAGCCCCAGCACAGCTGAGGTGCCCTGGGACGGCAGTGCAGCCGGCCTTCCCCTCTGCCTGCGCAGCACGCCTGCCTGACAGCTGCTCCAAGCTGAGAACACAAAAAGCCTTTGTACCAATACCCTACATCACAACCTGAGCTTGGTTCTGGTCCTGCCCAGCCTGACCCCCACCTCACCACCAGTGCAGCTCCCCGGGATGCTGACCCACCGCCCGCACCCCGCAGGTCACCTCTTCTCTCTTAGAGGAATGCAGGAAAAGCAGCCGGTGGCTCTCATCTCTCATGCATCTCACCCACCTCACACTTGTTGAATTTCACGTATTCAAACTTTGGCCCTCCAGGTGGACACAAAAACCAACTATAAAGAGATCCATGAGCTGCCCAGAACCTGAGGTCAAGGAGTTAAACCTCTGCACAAAAAGCCCCAAAAGTGCAAGATAAAAATAATCTTTCAGAACAGCCACAGGGAAGCTTTTCAGCTCAACGTCAAACGTATTTCATTGTGCTCAGTGCTACATGTCACCAGCTTTAGCAGTCAGGAGAAAATGTATTAGAGGATATAGGAATGGACAACACTACGAACCCAGCCCCTGGTGCACTTCAGCATCTATATGAGAGCAAGTCTGGACAAGCGTGAAGAGCAGAGTGCAGACCTCCCCACATGCACACAGGCCCTCGAACAGCCACGGCCACATGTGCCCACCTCTGCCCAGCTGCTGCCCCACCACAAGAAACACAAACACCCTGCAGCAACTGTCAAACCTCACCCCAACACAGAATCACAGCCTGGTTTGTGCTGAAGGGACCTTCAAGCTCATCCAGCTCCAAGCCCTGCCCCGGGCAGGGACACCTCACACTAGAGCAGGTTGCTCCAAGCCCCTGTGTCCAACCTGGCCTTGAACACTGCCAGGGATGGGGCAGCCACAGCTTCTCTGGGCACCCTGTGCCAGCGCCTCAGCACCCTAACAGGGAAGAGCTTCTGCCTTAGATCTAA